CAGAGGCTGATGCAGAACCGCCACCACCACCTACACGGCCGGGGAAACCATAGGCGGGACCACCGAATCCACCGCCAAATCCAGGACGGCCATAGGGACTGCCAAAACCGCCACCAAAGCCAGGACCACCAAAGCCGGGACCACCGAATCCACCGCCAAATCCAGGACGGCCGAATCCACCGCCAAATCCAGGACGTCCAAAACCGCCACCATAGGGACCGAATTGAGGCAAAGCGCAAACGGCTGCCACCAACATAGCGAGAACAACGAATACGTTCATGTTGAATAAGTTTTTTGACACTGATCTCAATGGTCGACGACAAAAATATTTATATGTTGCCGGCAGCTATCGTTGACCACGGCCTATGATGATGATGATGACAATAACATTAACATAAACAAAATATAATCTCCAAGAGAGCATTGCAGTGTTGGCACACATCATTCGATTTTAAAGTGGTAGGGCAACTATAGTTCATCTCATTTTCTATGACAAGTATTTTAAAAGAGCCACAACTGTCCATTAGAATCTGATCTAATGTCAATACTTCCGTACGGGGTTTTTTTGAGAGAATTTTTAGAACTAAGAGTACGAGTGACGTCTATATGGTCACCACAAACGACATTATTGTTTTCGTTTTTTCTTATGGGGATTTTTTCTTCAGAAATTGTTAACAATTAACACCTACAACACATGCACGAAATGAGATTAATTTATTCATGTTATCGAAACCTATAAACTAGGAGGCAGTATGGAAATTTGGAGACAATTTTCTTCGGTAATAAATATTTGTTTAATCCCAGTAAAAAATTTTATTCCCAAGAAAATATTTTTAAAAAAATCCACATCAATGGTGGCATCAGGAAAATATTCTTTAAAAAATACACGCCTTGAAATGGTCAGTCAGAAATATCATTTAAAAAATCCAGGCCTTCAAATAGTCCGTCAAAAATATTATTTAAAAAATCCACACGTAATTCAGGCTTGGGAAAAATATTCTTTAAAAATGTCAGGCCTTGGAAAAATATTCATTAAAAAGTCAGATCCAGGCTTATGAAGGCATTGGAAAAATATTCTTTAAAAAAGCCAGGTCCATGTTTATGAAGGCCTTGGAAAAATATTGGTTACAAAATCCAAGCCCTGGCTTTTGAAGGCTTCATAAGCCTCAAAAAATTATTTAAAAAATCCAGGCCTTGGCTTTTGAAGGCTTTCATAAGCCCCAAAACAAATTATTTAAAAATCCAGGCGCAGGCTTTTGAAGGCCTTTATTATAGGCCTCAAAAAATTATTTAAAAAATCCAGGCCCTCAAAAAAATTATTTGAAAAATCTAGGCCCAAGCTTTTAAAGGCCTTCATAAGCCTCAAAGAAAATCATTAAAAAATCCAGGCCCAAGCTTTTAAAAGCCTTCATAAGCCTCAAAAAAAATCTTTAAGAAATCCAGGCCCAAGCTTTTAAAGGCCTTCATAAGCCTCAAAAAAAATCTTTAAAAAATCCACGCCTTCATAAGCCTTGAAAAAATATTCATTAAAAAATCCAGGCCCAAGCTTTTAAAGGCCTTCATAAGCCTCAAAAAAAATCTTTAAAAAATCCACGCCTTCATAAGCCTTGAAAAAATATTCATTAAAAAATTCACGCCTTCATAAGCCTTGAAAAAATATTCTTTAAAAAATCCACGCCCTTGAAAAAATATTCTTTAAAAAATCCACGCCCTTGAAAAAATATTCTTTAAAAAATCCACGCCCTTGAAAAAATATTCTTTAAAAAAATCCACGCCTTGCGATGGTCCCTAAAATATATTCTTTAAAAAAATCCACGCCTTGTGATGGTCCCTAAAATATATGCTTTAAAAAAAGCCACGCATTGTGATGGTCACTTATAAGGGTCCCAGAAAAAATATTCTTTAAAAAATCCACGCCTTATAAGGGTCCCAGAAAAAATATTCTTTAAAAAATCCACGCCTTATAAGGGTCCCAGAAAAAATATTCTTTAAAAAATCCACGCCTAAAAAATATTCTTTAAAAACTCCACGCCTTATAATGGTCCCAGAAAAAATATTCTTGTCTTCGCATACCAACCTCGTAATAATTTTGAAAACTTTCTTTCATTTTCGGTGATTCCCAATGAATACAAAAGTATGAATCCATTAATCCGAACATAATGTTTAACTAATAAAAAAATCGAACTTCGATTTTGAATAAAATCAAACAACACTTTAAGATGATCACAAAAGCAAAATGAAAAAACAAATAACGCAAATGGCTAGTTTCACTGCTCCTAGTGTTGAAAACTGGTCTTTAAATTATTAGCTAAAAACCCATTAAAAAACTAGGTGGTGGAGGAGAAAGGGTTGGCGTTTAACAGAAACTACTACGTCATCATTTGATTGGACCAAGAAAATTACCCTTTGAGTATTGGGTTCTGTGTGGCTTTCCAAAAACCTGTGTGATTTTGATGTTATTGTTTACCTATCATCAAAAAAATGAAAAAACATTTTTGATTTTCGGTTAGAACTGGTTTATCTTGAAAGAGGTTATTTGCCTTTTGTGTAGTCTTCTTCGCGATAGCCACACACATTTCATCTTTGCGTGTCTATCAAAATGATGTCTCATTTCTAGAAGCTGGGATTTTACACATAAGGAAGTAGTTTAAAATTTTGTTGTCTAAAAAATTAGTCGAATAGCTATTAAATAAACATGAATTATTGTTTACATTAATGCAGTAGAACTTTTGTTTGTAAATAAAACACAAAACTACATACCTACATAATATTATGAATATGGGGGATGAATCCCATAGGAAGTTATTGATTATTGGATTTTAAAAATAATTTTTTGCCTAAGGCCCATAATCATAGATTTTTTAAAGAATATTTGCTCAGGCATCTCAACAGACGTGGATTTCGAAAAGAATACATTTTCAGGGACCTCGACAGGCGTGGATTTTTAAAAGAATATTTTTTCAGGGACGTAGATTTTTAAAGAATATTTATTCAGGAAACATCCAAGGCGTGGATTTTTTAAAGAATATTTTCAGGGACCTCAACTGGTGTGGATTTTTAAAAAAATATTTTTTCAGGGACCTAACAGGCATGGATTTTTAAAAGAATATTTTTTTTCAGGGACCTCGACAGGCGTGGATTTTTAAAAGAATATTTTTTTCAGGGACCTTGACAGGCGTGGATTTTTAAAAGAATTTTTTTTTCAGGGACCTCAATAGGCGTGGGTTTTTAAAAGAATATTTTTTTCAGGGACCTTGACAGGCGTGGATTTTTAAAAGAATATTTTTTTCAGGGACCTCGACAGGCGTGGATTTTTAAAAGAATATTTTTTTCAGGGACCTCGACAGGCGTGGATTTTTAAAAGAATATTTTTTTCAGGGACCTCGACAGGCGTGGATTTTTAAAAGAATTTTTTTTTTCAGGGACCTCGACAGGCGTGGATTTTTAAAAGAATTTTTTTTTTTCAGGGACCTCGACAGGCGTGGGTTTTTAAAAGAATATTTTTTTCAGGGACCTTGACAGGCGTGGATTTGTAAAAGAATATTTTTTTCAGGGACCTCGACAGGCGTTAATTTTTAAAAGGGACATCGACAGGCGTGGATTTTTAAAAGAATATTTTTTCAGGGATCTCGACAGGCGTGGATTTTTAAAAGAACATTTTTTCAGGATTTTTAAAAGAACATTTTTTCAGGATTTTTAAAAGAAATTTTTTTTTCAGGGACCTCGACATAGGCGTGGATTTTTAAAAGAATATTTTTTCAGGATTTTTAAAAGAATATTTTTTCAGGATTTTTAAAAGAATTTTTTTTTTTTCAGGGACCTCGACATAGGCGTGGATTTTTAAAAGAATATTTTTTCAGGATTTTTAAAAGAAATTTTTTTTTCAGTGACCTCGACATAGGCGTGGATTTTTAAAAGAAATTTTTTTCAGGGACCTCGACATAGGCGAGGATTTTTAAAAGAAATTTTTTTCAGGATTTTTAAAAGAATATTTTTTCAGGATTTTTAAAAGAATTTTTTTTCAGGGACCTCGACATAGGCGTGGATTTTTAAAAGAATATTTTTTCAGGATTTTTAAAAGAAAATTTTTTTCAGGGACCTCGACATAGGCGTGGATTTTTAAAAGAATATTTTTTCGGGATTTTTAAAAAAAATTTTTTTCAGGGACCTCGACATAGGCGTGGATTTTTAAAGAATATTTTCTTAAGAAACCTCCTCAGGATAGGCGTGGATTTTTGAAGAATATTTTCTTGAGAAACCTCCTCAAGATAGGCGTGGATTTTTAAAGAATATTTTCTTATGAAACCTCCTCAAGATAGCCGTGGATTTTTAAAGAATATTTTCTCAAGAGCCCTCCTCAATATAGGCGTGGATTTTAAAGAATATTTTCTCAAGAGCCCTCCTCAATATAGGCGTGGATTTTTAAAAGAATATTTTCTCAAGAGCCCTCCTCAATATAGGCGTGGATTTTTAAAAGAATATTTTCTCAAGAGCCCTCCTTAATATAGGCGTGGATTTTTAAAGAATATTTTCTCAAGAGCCCTCCTTAATATAGGCGTGGATTTTTAAAGAATATTTTCTCAAGAGCCCTCCTTAATATAGGCGTGGATTTTTAAAGAATATTTTCTCAACAATAATTTTTGTAATTATAGATAAGAGTTTTTACGAATGTTTGAATGAGCTGTCTGGAATATTTTTTCCAACCTTGACCGTAGGCAAAGCTAATCTCCGAACTGTGTATTTAACAAATTTTACACGTGTTTTATATTTATTCTAGCTACTGGTTCGACCGAACATGTTAATTAAGCCAATAATTTGCCAAAAATTATTGATATTGTCTACGAAACAAAAGATGAGCTAATTTAATTGAATCCAGTTTTTCGTGTTCAGATGAACACAATAAGAGGATTTATTTTAAATAAAGGATATATAAATCGGATACCAATTTCTTGGAAATACATTTAGTTAATTCCCTGTATCAGGAAAGGTAGTACAGTAACATGAAACGCATGCTATCGGTTTTATGTCTTCTGCTAATAGGCAGTTCCTTTGCCGAAGACTATGACGAAGGAGAATTCGGTGGTTCCTCAGCTATTGCCAATTCAAATGCTCAGGCAACATCTAATGGATTTGGTGGCGATGCAATTGCAATGGCGAGTGCTCAAGCAAATGCTTTAGGTAATGGTGGTGATGCCGGTGCTATTGCCAATGCCAATGCTAATGCTGAAGCCAATGGAGGTGGAACAGCTGTTGCCAATTCGGTAGCTATAGCAAATTCTAATGCTGTTGGAGGAGCTGGTGGTTTAGGTGGCTTTGGAGGTGGATTAGGTGGCTATGGAGGTGCTGGTGGTGGTGGATTGGGTGGCCATGGAGGTGCTGGTGGAGTTGGTGGTCAAGGAGGTGGTTATGGAGGAGCTGGTGGATTAGGTGGCCACGGTGGTGCTGGTGGTGGATTAGGTAGCCAAGGAGGTGCTGGTGGATTTGGAGGCCAAGGAGGTGGTCTGGAAGGCGGTTATGGTGGTGGAGAAGCTGTTGCCAATTCTGGAGCTACAGCAATTTCCAATGGTGATGGAGGTGTGGGTGGTGCTGGTGGATTAGGTGGTTATGGAGGTGGTGGTCGTCGACATCGCCACCGTCATCATCATCACAGAGAATATAGTGATTATGATTAAATTATTGTTATTAAATCAACAAAGTAAAAAAATTAACAACTATTTTTTTTATCCATGCCTATCAACAGTCCTTGAAAAAATATTCGTTAAAAAATCCACGTCTGTTGAGGTCCCTGAAAAAATATTCTTTAAAAAATCCACGCCTGTTGAGGTCCCTGAAAAAAATATTCTTTAAAAAATCCACGCCTGTTGAGGTCCTTGAAAAAATATTCTTTAAAAAATCCACGCCTGTTGAGGTTCCTGAAAAAATATTCTTTAAAAAATCCACGCCTGTTGAGGTTCCTGAAAAAATATTCTTTAAAAAATCCACGCCTGTTGAGGTCCCTGAAAAAAATATTCTTTAAAAAATCCACGCCTGTTGAGGTCCCTGAAAAAAATATTCTTTAAAAAATCCACGCCTGTTGAGGTCCCTGAAAAAAATATTCTTTTAAAAATCCACGCCTGTTGAGGTCCCTGCAAAATATTCTTAAAAAAAATCAATGCCTCTTCGAGCTGTCTGGAAAGGTCGTTAGATGTCCGCATAATGGATAAGAACTTATTTAGTCTTTAGAGAACCTATTAATGTAGGAAGAGCTCTTTAAAAGTCCGACAAATTTATGAGAAGGTCTTTAGAAGTCTGAGTAATGGAGGAAGAGCTCATTAGAGGTGTGACAAATCTATTAGAAGGTCTTTAGAATTCCGATTGATATAGGAGGAGGTCTTTAGAGATCCGACTAATGCATGGAAAGTCTTTTGAGGTCTCACTAGAGGTCCTATTAATGTAATATATACGAAGTAGGGATATGTAAATCGACTTTCGACTAATCGATTAATCGACTTTTTTTATTGAAAAGTCTAAAAGTCTAAGTCGAATTTTCATCTTTCGATTTTCTTCATAAATACTTTTTTTTTATCATAAAGCTCAAATTGCCCAAAAAATTGCACTTTCCGGAACTTTACTTTACCCGTTCACAATAATTCATAAAAAATCCAAATTTTTGGTCGATTTTTCAGAAGTCAGTAAAAGTCGAAAATCGATTTTAAACTTTTTGGGCAAAATCGAAAGATCGAAAAATCGACATTTTAGTCAAAGGCAAATATCGAAGGCAGATTAATGTAGTAGGATATCATCAGTGGCCCTTTAGACGTCTGACTAATGGTCTTTGGAGGTCAGAGTAATGTAGGTGGAGTTCATTAGAGATTCGATCTATGAGAAATTATTTAAAGGTCCTTCTGAAGACGCAGGAGCAGGTCATGTGAGACACAACAAATGTAGGATGAGAACACCAGAGGTCCGATTAATTTAGTTATGAGGAGGTCTTTGAGAATGTTTAAAGACATTCTCGATTTAATGTAGGATGAGAACACCAGAGGTCCGATTAATTTAGTTATGAGGAGGTCTTTAGAGGTCGGAAAAATTTAGAAGGAGGTCATGGTAGGCGAGTAGCACAAGAAGCTCTTAGAAGTCCGACTAAAGTAGGGAAAATTCCCGCATAATGGATGGGAGGGCCTTTAGAGGTCCGCATAATGAATGAAAAGGCCTGGTCCGAGTTATATAGGTAAAGCTCATTGGAAGTCCGATTATGTAGGAGGAGGTCATTAGAGATCCGTCTAATGCATGATGTAGGTGGAGCTCATTAGAGATTCGATCTATGAGAAATTATTTAAAGGTCCTTCTGAAGACGCAGGAGCAGGTCATTTGAGACACAACAAATGCATGAGAATGTTTAAAGACATTCTCGATTTAATGTAGGATGAGAACACCAGAAGTCCGATTAATTTAGTTATAGTTAATCCATGAGGAGGTCTTTAGAGGTCGAAAAAATTTAGAAGGAGGTCATGGTAGGCGAGTAGCACTAGAAGCTCTTTGAAGTCCTACTTAAGTAGGAAAAATGACCGCATTATGGATGGGAGGACCTTTAGAGGTCTGCATAATGAATGAAAAGGCCATTGCTGGTCCGAGGTATATAGGAAGAACTCATTGGAAGTCCGTTTATTTGGTTGGAGGTCATTAGAGATCCGTCTAATGCATGATAAGGTTATTTGAGGTTGATCTTATGTATGATGAGGTTTCTAGATTTTTGAACAATATACTAGAAAGTATTTAGAGGTCCAACTAATGGGACCTGCTTAGGTCCCTGTAAGAAATCCACGCCTGTTAAGGTCCCTGAAAAAAATATTCTGTAAAAAATCCAAGCCTTTGATTTCCGTGGAAAAATATTCTGTAAAAAATCCAAGCCTTTGATGTCCATGGAAAAATATTCTGTAAAAAATCTTTTAAAAATATTCTTTTAAAAAATCACCGGAAGAGCTCATTGGAAGTCCGATGATGCAGGATGAGGTCATTAGAGATCCGTCTACTGCATGATAAGGTTATTTGAGGTTGATCTAATGTAAGATGAGGTTTCTAGATTTTTGAAAAAAATAAATTTGAAAGTATTTGAGGTCCAACTAATGGGACCTGCTCTGGTCCCTGTAAGAAATCCACGCCTGTTGAGGTCCCTAAAAAATATTCTGTAAAAAATCTTTGAAAATATTCTTTTAAAAAATCACTGTCTTAGTTGGTCTTTGAAAAAATATTAATGAGCGTGTCAGTAGTATTAGCATAATATTCAGTTTTATTGGGAATTCCCTAAGTGTTGTCTGTCCATCACCTAATCGATAATAATCCAATTAACTGAATCACCGCATTATTTTCATACGTAATACAAGTAGACAATTGACCACTGGCGATAATTTGTTGACCAAATATAAACAGAAAAAAAAATGATTTTCAAATAAAAAGCAGTACAGAAACAAAGAAAACAACAAAAAAAGCCCCGCCACATCTTTGTTAGAAATGATGCTAGAGGTAAATTTACGGGGAAATTCCCCCGTTTTTTCAAAATTTATTTTTGTTTGTATGGCAATGAATCTTACCAAATATCTCCATATGAGTTGCAAATTATTTTGTTAAGATTTGCAAATAAAAATAATATTCTAAAGAATAAATTGCTTTGTGCTTTAGCTTAGAAAAATAATTCAATTCATGATCAAAACACTGAATGGCAGTGGCGAATGACTACTCAACTCATGTGTGATTAAATAATAATAAAATTAATAATAAACAAAATTATGATGAAATAAAAACAATATTAAATAACAAATGTGAATATTTAACAACAGTAGAAGTAGTAGAAGTCAACGACATGCAATAGTACCCCAAAGAAAAAAATCGAGGTTAAAACAATTATGTACTCACTTAAGTAATTCGAGGGGTTTGGACCAATTCTTCCGAGTATTTGTTTACAACATGCAAGTAGTCAATACTATATCTTAGCTATAATAAATGTTGTTAACATACCTGAAAAAAAGAAATAAAAAAATTAAATTAGTTTTAATGATTCATTATTAAATAACTAAATTCATTAAAAAATAAAAAATATTTATAAAAAAAAAAATTATTATAAAAAATATTTTCAAAACCAAAAAATTATAAAAAATATTATGTCTCATAGTAGCCGTCATGCAAGTCCATAAATTAAATATCTAAATTAATATATTTGTTAGGATTAGTATCAATTAAGTCGTTTCCAAAATTACACGTGCTAATTTCTTGTTTTATATTTGCAACAATAACGCTGACGATTGAGCGATGCAAATGACCGCTTAAAAATTTCTAATTTCTTTCTGTCCAGTTAATAATTTAAAGTCTATAAAGATAATAAAAAGAAGTTGTAAAATTTTAGAATTTATGACGCATTAAAAAAGAAAATTATAAAGAATAATTTTTAAATGTCCATTAGGAATTATTTTTTAATATTTTTTAAGGACCATCAACAGGAGTGGATTGATTACATATCTTTTTTAAGGACCGTCAATAGGAGTGGATTTCTTAAAGAATATTTTTTCAAGGCATGGATTTTTTAAAGAGTATTTTTTAAGGTCCATTATGAAGCGTGAATTATCTATACTAATAAAAGAGTAAAGTGCTTGACTGACTGATTTAACGATTTATCAACGCCCAGACAAAACGGCTGAAGCTACAATCTTGATATTTTGGGTGAGGGTCACTCTTGGTCCAATGGTGACAGATAAGGCTATGTTTTTGGAAATCCGTACTAGAACGGTACGAAAAGTACTAATTTGTATTTGGTGAACCGGTAGAACTAGAACTCTTAAATTTTAAATGAGGGTCACTGATGGAATGTAGAATATATATAGCAAAGGGTTTTTTGGACATTCGAACTATAAGTATGCGAAAAGTACTAAAATGTACTAAATTTGGTACAATTTCGTAGGAATGCGAATGAGGGTTGAGATGCAGGGAATATTTAAAGAGATGGCTTTGAATGCGTGTACTCATGTGTACGAAAAGTACTGTATCTGGTACAATATTAGGTACAATTTGGTACAAACTATACTATATTTGGTTCAAATTTAATTTGGAGATACACATCGAGCTGGAATCCTGGAATTTGAAATTAACATTACCGTCGGAGTGTAGGATTGTACTATAATCGGTACAGTTTGGATTTGGGTGCACCGATAGAGCGGGAACAATAAAATATGGTGTCAGGATTACTGCAGGGCTGTGGGATTTGGGTCAGGATTCAGTTTAAGAAATTAATACTTATGGGTACTAAATGGTACTAAATTTGGTACAATTTGAATTTAATTGAACCAATAGAGCTAGAATCATGAAAATTGGAGTTAGGTGTAAGATTGAAATATGTAGGAAGTTTTAGAAATTCTTACTAATGTGTACTAAATTTGGTACAATTTAAATTGTGGGTGAAGCGATAGAGTTGAAATCATGAAATGATGATTTATGATCACTGTGGAGATGTATGGTTGGGGTATGTGGGAAGTTTTGGAAATTGGTACTACTGTGTACTAAATTTGGTACAATTCGAATTATAGGTGAACCGATAGAGTTGGAATCCTGAAACTTGGATTTGGGATCAGTGTGGGGGGAGGATTGGGGTATGTAGGAAATTTTAGAAATTTGTACTAAGTGTACTAAATTTGGTACAATATAA